TCCGCTAACCCTTTTCCACCGTTTTCCAAATAATCCTATTGGCGGATTTTTTCCTCGCACTCTTCTCCTTTTTTTGAAATCGGTTAACAAAGTACTTGCGCATGTACCTCTTTCTCCATGACACTCGAAGACATACTATTTTAACCCAAATACAATCCACTCCTGTGTACTGGCCTCTTTTACGACAGCTTATTTAGACTATTGTTCATATTAGACCCAATACAGAATAATACGTAATAAGGTAAAAATAAAAGATCTACTGTCCATGAAGCATTGCTTTGCGCCAACTTTTACGTCATGTTTTTTTTTTCGGAACGTCCGCGCACAAGTTCAAGGTTGTACGGTCAATGCCTAGCTCTAAACGATTGCAAATGTTTGTCTTTTACGTAAAACGGAACCGAATAGAATTTGTTTTTCGAATCTACGCGTACATTCATAAATTCTAATTTTAAAATTGAGTTTTGGCAATAGATGCCATAGAAAGCTATTGAAATAATAATTCAATTTATTTGCACGACAACTCTATCAAGAGCCAAGTTTATCTTAATTATTAAGAAATTTAATTAATTATAAAATAAAAAATACGACTTCTTTGTTTTAATGCAAGATTACGCGTATTAGTAACGGCCATATTTAGAAAATGCCATGGCAAAGTACACAAATGTCGCACCAATAACACGAAACAAAGGAATTGACTGAAAGTTCGAAACTCTTTTGCATTTAAAAATAAGTAATAAAAAATCTTTTTGATCTGTGCATTTTTAAAATTTTTACGGCCTGGGGAATTTGCAAATGAGTGAAAGACAATTCGGTGACATGTATCATTTGCAATGTAAATTATTTTTGGCAAAAACAAGTGCATCAGTCGCTGCAATTGTTTGCTCACTTTATTGTTTGGCGGCAGAAATAGGTAAGGTGGCAGTACTTCCCTGAAAGAACTCTTTCACTAAGAGCGAATCCCCTAAAATGTCGATTAAGTTAGTTTATGATGAAGACGGTATATTTTTCCATGAGTAATTATCAAATACAAGCAAATTTCTCCCTATGATTAACGACAGTTCTACTTTAAACTCGTGTTAAAGACACGAAAATAAAGACGTTTTTTTAACGTCACTGCATCACGTTACCAACTGTAAATTCGGCAAATGAACTCATTATTCACAAGTAAATTTATTTATAATTTCATGTTAAATATGGACTTCTTCTTTCTTTCAACCCTTTGACCGCCGTGGACACTTTGAAACGTTTTTCATTAACTTGGCTGAGAAGCCAATGACGCTTTAAAGCGTCAGTGAAATTAATGAATAAATCTTAAGTTATTCTTTGTGTTATTTGTATATTCTAATTCATTATAGATTCATAGTTGCGTATTATGTTCAGTTACGTTCTTCTTTGACTTACGAGAATTGAATTAATATATCGACGCCTTAGTTTCTCAAACTCGTGTCTTATAAAAAGTGATTAAAATACAGGAGATGGCAAAAAATTCTATTTATTTTAAATTTCTTATCAAGGGTGTTAACTTGGATGTATTGCTTTAAGAATAGGCAAAAGCCAGTGTGTGAATATGAAGGAAATGTGATATGAAATCATCCTGCAACATTTGTATAAGTATATAATCCATTTTTTGCATTTTGCAAAGAAACGCGACGATACGGTGGAAATTCATAACATGCACGTCACTATTATAGGCTTGGCGTCTAGGGACCGAAACTAGTTTTTGTATTTTGTAGTATTGTAGCAGTACAACTACTTGTCAAAGAGTTCTTCCAAGGAAGTACTCCCATCTAGCTTATTTCTGCCGCCAAGCAGTAATGTGAGCATTACTGCGTTCCGGTTTTAAAGGGAAGGGTGCTGGTGACATTACAGACACAAGGGACTTGTCAACTTATATCTCGTAAGGTGGCGGGCGCGTTACCAGGGGTTGGTTTAAACGAGTAGCACTTAAAAAGTTTATTTTTTAAAATAAGCCTAAACAATTTCATTTTTTACAACGTGCCTAAGTTACAACTCGCCATCTACGTTTCCTAAACAAATTAATTCGTCAATGTGAATGATAATTTTATAAGTAAAAATTAAATTGGTGTTTTACATGTAAACTTACTTATCTTAAAACAACGTTGCAAGCTTTTTTTTTTAACATAAAACTATGCGCTTGAACGTTTGAAAGAATAAGCAGCAGCATTACTAACACCCGGCCCACTTGTCCGTCCGGTCACTTGGTGTTATAAAAAAAAATTTGAAGTTGCTTACATTTTGTTAAAAAATAACTTGACAACATGCACTCCTTCCTAATTCCATAGGCGGCGCGAAGCTTGTCATAGCATGACGTTTAAGAGCTCTTCATATAAACTCACGTAGTCCTAAAGACAAAAAATAAATCTAATTTTCTTTAAACTTTGAGTCACTGTTTCGCCGGAATTGCGATATATGCTCCATTCTTATCACTTCCAAGACGTCAATATATAGCCCACTAAACTAACTACAAATGGTTACACCCTTAAAGTACGCATTATACAATCGCACCGAGATCATCTAATCTTTGACGTCGGCTAAAACGTAATACCTAGACATGCAACGATGAAGATTCGGTGTCAACGAACTTCGAAATTTAAATATTCGCTTAACACACGCGTGACTTATCATATTACTGGCCAGTTTTATTGTGATTCATATTTTCTGTGATAACGATAACAACCTCATTAGGAATTTGAAATAAGAACATGGGAATTATTTGAATTAGGAACACGGGTAATTTATTAAAACAAAGGAAACATTATAATCTGCCATTAATTTTAAATATAATATTTACGTGTACATAGCCACTTAACTATGAGAGGTGGAGTGACTGGTATTCGGACCTACTTCGGATGTCACTTGTGCACTAAGTCCGGGGCACTGCCACTGCGCCCGCGTCACGCTGAGACATGTGCCTGTAATTTCACTAGCTCTCTTACCCTTGGACACCGGAAGGCAATATTGTGAGCAGTACTGCTTAACGGTAGAAATACGTAAAATAGCAGTACTTCCCTGGACGAACTCTCACAAGAAACTCTACTGCTACTATAGATTTGACAGCCTTAGATTAAAATGCAATCTGCTTTTTTTATAATATCAAGTGATGGGACGAGCCAGTCGTGTGCCTGGTTGCAAAGCTACACGCCTGTCCGTAACAGTTGCAGTTCCACTCAGAGCTTCAAATCGTAAAGATCTGAGGGGCACTGCCACTGCGCCTGACATCCTGAGACATAAGTTGACAAGTCCTACGTGTCTGTAATTTCACCAGCACTGTTACCCTTCACAAATCGGAACGCAGTAATGCCCACATTACTGCTTGGCGGCAGAAATAGATAAGGTGGCAGTACTTCCTTGGATGAACTCTTTCTGCCGTGTATCGAACGTGTAAAATTATTGTTAACAAGTCGCCACTACTACCACTTAACCATCATTACTTATAGAAATTGTTTTATTACGCATTTGAAAACACGTGCAGGTTTCATGTATTATCAGATGCAATTGATAAACATCTTGCCCAGTATAAGTTGAGCTCTAGTACACGTACATGGACGTATTTGAAGAAAATATTTATATGGCGAGAGAAAAATAAGAGGTCGGCTCAAGGTGGTCATTGAACGGGAAAATGTACGGTATAGATTTTTGTTAACAGTAATTTTATTTTATTGGAAGTAATTTTTTCGAATCAAAATAGCGTATGTTTGTTTGTTTTTTTTTCAAACAAAATCATCGTTTCGATCTCTTTACAGGTAGCTAATTTTTAATTCTTTAAATTACAAAGTAATAACCCTTTTCTATAATAATATTTTTGTACTCACAGCCCCGCACTAGAGAAACCCTGTATCGCGGATACCATGGACACACACATAGACAACCACAAATTACACCCAAATTCACCATACTTTGCTAACTATTCAGACAATGGTTGTGTAACCATGATATGAATAGTTAGCCTAATCCCATTCCCTAGTGAGGTCATCGGACAAGAGACGGGGATCTCTTGCCCAAATTGCACGGTCTCACCCGTCTGAGGGGATGGGTCAAGCGTCCGACCCTCTCCTCTTTAGCGCGGGAAGTTTGGCAGAAGCCAAGTAGGCCGGGGCGTCGTAGTGCTGAATCTGCGGGATCCCACGGTGCCCACAACAACGGGCCAAGAGGGTGCGCCTGGGGGTTTTAAGCCTCCTCTCACAATGAGAGAGATTGGGTAGTTCCCGCGCGGAATTTCACACACACATTAAATTACTTTGCAGATGTGTGCAGTTGTCCTCGCGATGTTTTCTTCCGCCAAGAAACTCATGGTAAATTTCGCAGATAAATTCATAATATGAAAGCTATAAACAACGCGTTAGATAGCTAACCGGTAACATTATATATATATATATATATAAACTAGTAATTTGTTTATATTATAATATATATTCTGCTTATGTATGTATTTGTGTATATAAAGTTCATGTAGGTGTATATGTCTATCATATGTATATATTATCATTTTTTTTACTCACATTTAAATTTTAATTTTATTCTACAATAATTAGTGTTTCATGTATCTTTTCTTTGTGCAATAAAGAGTTATTATTAAACAATTGAGTAATGATTATTTTGTATCAATTCAATTACGATTTTGGGATTTTCTCATTTGCTTTATTCAAACAGGACAATGAACTCGTCTACGGTCAAGCTTAGAATTATCAAAAAAGTCTAAACATTTGATAAAAGTGTGTCCTTATCTCAATTGTCAATTTACACCACAAAAATGTAATGATAACTTACTCGCTTCACATACTACATGTATAATTTTGATATAATTTCATATAGCAACGAGAAATGTCGGGATACATACAAAATTACTTATACAGGGAAGTTACCTTCACAGCGCGTATGTCAGTGCGACCTCTCTTGTTTGCTTTGATCTATACGAACCTATCTTCATCTGAGTCACTGCTTATAATCAGTATACCAGTAAGAGCGAACTCCGCAGTACTCGCCCGCGGCTGTATAGAGAGCGCACGCGTGTCTCGTTGCCTGTAAACAAAACAAAGACTTTGTGTTTATCGCAAATTTTGAATTTAGAAATTGCGCGTTCGTTTACTGGTCTATTACGTATTTTGTTAATATTGAAAACAGTTCTAATTTGCGCGTTAGTTTTCAAGTCTTTTTTTGAATACTGAATACTTTTGATTTTCTATCTGTGGCCTTTTGGTGTTCTTAAGTTGATATTGTCTTTTTTATGTTGAGAAAAGTTAATTATTGTTTTGAAGTTTCGTATTTTGCATTCTAAAGAATATTGTAATTATAAGCTATGGTCCTTTTGTACGTATAGTAATTTTATCTTGTTTTGGAAAAAGTGCGGTTTTCTTATTTTAGTAATTTCGTAATCGATAATTGTGAAATTCAAAATCTTTTTCTGTTGTTTATCAAATGGAATTTTTTTCAAATTCGATAAATCAAAAAACTTAATTTTTTTTTAATTATATTCAAAAACAAATAGAACACGGTCGTTACTTTACGCGCGGTATGTGTTTTGTGTCGATAGGTTAATTAATGCGTGTAACTACAATGTAAATTATCTTTTGTTTTCTGCGTGAAATGGTGTCCAATTGTTATTATATTTAGAGGTTAGAAGTTGTTAGTAAGTAGTTTTAAAATTAAATTTAACTACTTTACTTTTTTCACTAGATTGCACAATAGATATGAATGACTGTCAAAGTATGCGGTGTAATATAGCTAAACTGACAGTTTGGTAGGTATTTATAACACAACATGCAATATGCGTTCTACTAACCGCGATAAGCTGAACTTATTTACCTAAACCTCAAAGAAGTAAAACACATACACACACACATAATAGTAACCCACATTTGTAATATATATTACCCAAATTTTCTTTTTGGGAAAGCTGCAATATCCAAGGCCAAAGTTTCAACCTTTTGTTCCAGTTTTAGGTAATTTCTCAGGAGTGCTACAAAAACTTGGCGCGAAGCCAAAAAACTGTTTTGACTGTTTAGTGAAAAAAGTGACTCAGTGACCATGTATCTGACGAAATTGCGTTTTTTAGTCAACAACTGTTTACTACAACAGAAGTGACATTTAGCACAATGTCTCCAGATAAACGCAAAAGGAGAAACGTAAAGCAGTGTGATAAAAAAAGGACTCGTAAGCTTCTATAGCAATCATAAAATAGACTTTAAAAAATTCATGATCTCACCAGTATTTTAGTGCTCAAGTTTTAAAATATAGATTATAAAATTAAAAAAAAGACTGAGTAAATTTCGAATTTCGAAAATGATCGCGTTGAAAAAGTTATACGGGGACGAGTTGCTTCGTTTGGCGCTAGTGTTAAGCCTTTTAAAAATTGATCCGAACGATTATTTGGAGCGGGAAACTCAGCTGATCGCGGGACTCCACATCTCAAACGGCTCTGATTGGTCAGCGGAGCAGGAACCGCGAACGCTGATTCGTCCAAGGTACGTCCATCCAAAATCATTGGACAACGTCCTGATCAACTACGAAAGAGAATTATTCGAAGAACTGAATTCTTTAGGACGTTACAGCTTTACTAGTAATAATGAACCAATGTTTCCGACTCATACATATTTAGTGAATAACGTAGCGACTGATTTAGTCGCGCCCTCGCTGGCGAATCGGACGGACGATGACGACCAGGATGGCGTGTCTGCTGACGACAACGTAGCCCAGGAAGTTAAAGTTGAAGATCTGGATGAAGAATCACAGGAAGCCTACCTAGAGAGTCAGGCTTCGGGGAATCAACACCAGGAAAATCCGGAGCAAGGCAGTCTTGCACAGACAGACCAAAAAGAACAGGTTTTGGATCTGGGAAACACAGAGCAAGAAGCTGCCGGATTTACTCCTGATGCTGTAGTCACTCTGTCATCTGATTTCTTGTCTAACCAGTCAGAGTCTGATATCTTTGCCGAAATACAATCGAGAAGTTTTGATGTTAATGAATTCTTGGTGCTACCAGATATGCAAATTAAGAGAGAACCCCAGGACCCTGAAATTCGTGATGTCAACATCAAGAAGGAAAAGGAAAATGACGACCTATACAGCGACAATGCAATTGATGATTTCGTACCGTACTTTACCGCAAAATCGGAGAAAATCGACATTGGTGAGAACTCAGTGTTTGACCAAAATATGGTTGACCTGCGACAGTACGAAGACATGTATGAAGACTTCAAGGACCTGAAGAATCTTGAATATCTGGACGTTAAACAACAGCAAGAGAATTTGGAACAGTACTTGCTTGAGAATACACCTTTGGACTCTGAGGTTTACGAATTAGGACCTATATTCGAAGAGGAGTTAGTTCTGGATGTCAAGAGGGAAAGAGCTAGCACTAGTTTCACTTCAGCAAGTTCCAGTGGTGTGAGCGAGATGGAGATAGACTTGAAGACGGAACCTGATGAAGGGCACCATACTGGCGACGAGTTGACGCAAGAGGTACGTTGGAACTTTTGTTAATTAATTTATTTATCGAACTATACTCATAGTTTATTTGTTTTTGTTGTAAGGTTCATTGTGACAGTGTTGTTGAATGCTACCGCGGAATCAGACTTTTTTTTCTACTAAGTCTTGTCAGTTTTTAAGCGATTTGGGACCTTGTCTTTTTACCGACATTCTATTTGTTATTTAGTGCGATTCTTTAATCCGCAAGGGCTGTTTTATAAAATTTATATTGGTATTTCTTTGCGAATGTACCTACACGAATTTGTGTAGTAATACGAAATAAAATCTTTTTGTGATAATTTATTTTAAAAATCAACCCTTATTAGATGAAAAGGGATGAAAAATTTGAAACGCCTGAACATTTACCTTGTGCTTACAAACAACACTTGTTGCCATCAAAGTTGAAACCAACTAACAATTGCGTTAAAAATAAGTATTAGTCAAATTGAGATTTATGCCGTTTGTTTTAGGGTTGTTAGTTGGATGTATATGTTTGTGTTTATGCATGAATTTGAATTATACTTGTTAAAATCGAACGCGTAACATTTGACCTCGTGTATAATGTTTGGGTCCCGTAAATCAAATAGTTTTTTTTTATGATAGGTACCGTCGTGCGCCTGGTGTCGATAGAATTATAGAATTTTTCTCGTACTAATACGGTTAATTTTGCAACGGTGTTCTGTGTGGCTTTGGTTAATTCCACACAACAGTGAAAGTGTTGAATCAATTACTTAGGAAAAAATATATAGTAATTGATTAGTATATGGTGTGAAAACATGACACTAACATTTCCAAGATAGAAAAAAAAACACAAATACCTCGAAATTTTACGAGAAAGCCGCTGTATTCAATAAGTACTTTACTTACTAAACTAAATAGAACACGTATGCTATTCGATATACATTTTTCAAATGGCTGAGGTATTCGAGCCGAGGTATTCTTTCTCTTAAGCTTGTAGATGGTTTTTGAGATGCATATAGCGAAACGAAAATCCCCGTACTATCATATTTTTAATTTAATGTTACGGTAAACGCCGTTACTGGCCTTGAACATGTTAACGATTTTGCATGGCATATTGTGCAGCGCCTCTAGCGGTTGCTAAAAGAATTATTTTCTATACATATAAAATGTTCGTAGTACTGGAAACATTATGTACATAGAATAACGGTTAAAATAAAAGTTTCCACTTTTAAATCTGCATAAATAAAGTTCTAAATTTAAAATTTAAAACATCGAAACAGTGTTGTAAACAAAAGCGACTTCCACTTAAATGTAACGGTTATTTGAATAGTTTTTTAATTCTTTTTTATTTACTTGGTTTTTGCCGCTTTTTGTACAAGAGTGCGTACTGTGGAACATATTTCTATTTTTTTAATGTTTGTTTGTCACTGACACTGAAGAAGATCACTTTCCCGTGAAAATAAGAATAAACGTTATTTACTAAAATTCTGGGATGCTTCATATGTACCTATGTTAAAATACTTTAAGTAGTTTAGGCTTTATGAGAAAACAATTGAGCACACATAGATGTACATACGCTGATAAAATTGTAGCTCTCACTTCGTCTCAATTCGATTACAAATGGACAATTTCGACTTAGGGCACTTCATTTCCATGAGTACGTTTGCACTTAAAAAATAAAGTCTGCCAATAACTAGAGCCCATAATCACGAATTCTACAATTGTTCGTAATCACAATGTACAGTCAGCAGCTGACTCAGCATATAATAAATACTTAATATAAAATAACATATAATAATAATTAATTTTTAGTCACAGAAGCGAATGAAATAGTACCTCCAGGGAAATACTGCCACCTTATTTATTTCAGCGTTTCGATTATGTAGGGTAACAACGTTTACGTACTACGTCCGATTCGTATTATAGTCTGTCGTTTTTGAAGTCAGAGCAAATGACATTTGTAGGGTTGCCAGTTTTCACAAAATTTGAAATAGTTATGTAGCTGTTGTCGATAGCTTTATCGATAGATTATGATAGAAGATAAAATTTTGCCATTAATGACTGAATTCTGAATGTTACGACGTTGTAATGATCACTAATTGCGTTATTGCCTTCTTTATTCTTATTTTGACAGTTGATCGAGATAAATTTTTATTCATATACATTTTAATAAGAATAGCCGGATTGGATTATCTATATTGAATTGAAATAAAAAACTTTAAAATATTTCTCCTCTTTATATTTTTCATAAACATAGTTCTAAATACAATATATGTATGTATGAACTTACAAAAATTGACATGGAATATTGCTGCCCTTTGACGCCATGAGAATTGTTGACGATATTGAACCACTGTCTTGGAGGAGAGACTTTGCCTCCCTTTGCCTGTTGTATCGTTTGTACGACGGCCAAAGTTCTGAAGAACTTTTTGACATGATGTCAACAGCAACATTTTTTCATCGCACCGCTCGCCACCAGCAGGGAGTCCATCCTCACATTCTGGAACCTAGTCGATCTCGTACTGTACGGTTTCAAAGGAGGTTTCTTCCACATACAATTAGGTTGTGGAATGGGAGTTCATTCCGTGTCGGGGTTTTCCCGCAGGAATACAGCATAGAGTCCTACAAAAGGCGTTTGAGAAGGGTCCCAGAGGGTTGGCAACGCGCTCGTGACGCCTCTGGTGTTGCAGCGTTCATAGGCGACGGTGACCGCTTTCCATCAGGCGCGCCGTATGCTTGTTTGCTGCCTACATAGAATAAAAAAATAAAATAAATTCAAATGAACTTGTGCTCAGTAATTGGATGAGTGATGGGACGAACAAGTCGTGCACCTGGTGGTAAGCGACACGCCTGTCCATAACTTATGCAGTGCTACTCAGTGCTTTGAATCACAAACATCTAAGGGGCACTGCCACTGCGCCCGTCACCCTGAGACATAAGTTGACAAGTCCCATTTGCCTATAATTTCACCAGCACCCTTACCCTTCAAAACCGGAACTCAGTAATGTGAGCATTACTTCTTGGCAGCAGAAGTAGGTAAGGCGACAGTACTTACCTAGACGAACTCTTTCACAAGAAGTTCTTCTACTACTTACATCATATATCGACCCCTCACACGTAAAGTATCGTATGTCAAAATTGCCAAGTTTACAGGGGAGCCTTTTAAAGTTCTGAATTCACTGAAATAAGCATAACACTTGACTTTAGATTTCTCACTTTTATACGGCAAATCTCGTAACACACGTTGAGTATCATAAAATCCTAGATATCGATTAGATGATCTATTAGATGATCACTCTATGTGAGTAACAAGCTTTGCCAAATGAAACGGAGAACTTTAAAACACTCCCCTGTAAACTTGGCAATTTCGACATACGATACTTTACGTAGGAGGCGTCGAATTATATATAAACCTTTAGCACCTATAAAATTTTTGTTCCACTATAGTTTTAAACCTCGTAAATTTTCAAATGTCAATAGGAATATTCCGGAATGTTTGCGTTCAATGGACACTTCGGAAACAAAGTCTGAACGTATGTTCATTCATTGCCCCCTAGTGCAACGCCCAGACGACGGCGGGACCAAAATGAAAATCAATAATTCAAACGCAACGCACTTCGCTAACTACATAACGCACCCCCAACAACAAACTGACACAAAACCTAACGTTTTTAAATAAATGTCAAAAAACAACATACGAAATATTATTTCATAATCAAAGTCAGATAATCATTTGTTCCATTGGTAAAATTATTACACTTGAAAACGTCATTTTTTTAAGCTATTGCTCGTTCACTACGCTGACCTCCCTGAGAAGACGAGCGAGTAACTTTTTTACTACATAAAATACTTTTAATGTAAGTTTTAAACTTAGGAAATGATAATCTTAATATATGCTCCGGAATCTTATTGTAAAAACGTATACAGTTCCCCATAAAAGAACCGTTTACCTTAGTTAAACGTAATCGTGCTACCATGAGTTTGGACTTAGTTCTGAAGTTAATATTATGGATATTTTCCTTAATGAAATTATATATATTTTTACGGGCATGCAAAATATTTGAGTTAATGTACTGTGATGCCACAGTCATGATACCAGTCTCCTTAAACTTTTCTCTGAGAGAAACCTGAGAACCTAAACGATACACAGAACGAATCGCTCGTTTTTGCAACACAAATGTGATTTGTATATCTGCCGCTTTACCCCATATGAGAATCCCGTACGACATTATACTATAGAAGTAACCAGCTTCCTTTATTATCTTTCTTGCTTTGCTTTATTGTCACAAATTACCAGAGATCAGAATAGGTAGAGTATTTTACCTAAACTTCGAGAGAAAGAGGAACATAGACAGAAACTGGAGACTGCCTTACGACAATATTTTTTAGGTCCTGGACCTGTTCGGGATTCGGGAAATTACTTAAGCGCATTAAAAATTGACGTAATTGGGGACAGGCAGGTACACTATATTAATCTAAACTGCGACACTGGGTCGAATTAGCGATATTGCGGACATTGGATTGGATGGATGAAAAAAATGCCAATCGAGAGATTTTATTGTTCTAACTAAATATTGTCATATCACATTTTGTCATAAATCTAATAGTATAGTAGGAAAAATAAAATGTGTATTTTTTTGTATGGGACCATTAGTGCTCCAATCCTTACAAAGTCTTAGTCGATCCGGTCTTGGAATCACTGCAGTCGTATTAATACACCTATCTTCTATAGATTTACACACTACACGCGCCCAAACCTACCTATTCACTACTTACATTGCAATATATATAATAGATACGAGATTGTAAGATCTAACTATGTAATGATTGCATACAATATTTTTTCCACGAGTAAACTAAAATAGTGAAACACAACCAATATTTAAAACTTATTTGTTAACAATCCACGACAACAAACTCAAGCGAAAGCAAACGCTACAAAAAACCAAAGGGATAGAATAGAAGTGTCCGTGGTTGGCCAAGTATCGCTTGTATTTTAACCAATCAGGAGATAGTTGAACATTTGATTACCG